TCTTCACATCTTGCTAATCTTGCGAACTTTAGGAAGGTGCTTGCCTGCCCCTGTGCAGCGGCTCATCAGAGCACGCCAGAGATGATTAGTGATCCCCGAGTGCGAGCAGAAGGCGAGAACAAGCCGTCGGCGCCAGCGACGATTGCCGCATCGGGTGACTCAATCAAGCGGGAGTGGGCTCACTACCATATGTGGGCCGGTGTCTTCGGACACGAGCTCGGACTCAACCCAGACCGTGACTGGGAAGAGAGCGTGAAACAGCTCTACACAGGCGCAATCGCGCAAACCGCTTTGTCTACGTGTCTGGGAGATGTTGATCATGGCTATAAGGCCCTCCCTAAGGTGGCACGGATCAACGACGAGGGGTTGTCGCGTTTCCAGCCCGGCGATAGCCGTGGCCGAGAAAAAGCCTGCATCATTGTTTCCGACTCTACCCTCATTTTCAAGGCTGGGGCGAGAACATTCGTTGAGATGGCGGAAGACTTTAAAGCTCTGACGGGGCCTGGTCATATCCTTCAGCAATACACGAATGTCCGGCAAAAGGCGATTTGGGGAGGCAACCTCCACTCGATCGTTGAGGCAGTTCACACGCTCTTGCCGCAGATCATCAACGAATCGTTAAATCCCTTGCATCTCGAGGTCGATATCGTTGTTGTGTGGATGGGCAACGAACTGTGCGGTCGCAGAGGTGTCTTCGTCGACCCAGGAACGCCACACTGGCAGATTGGTCCTGAAGGCGTTGCCGCGGAAGGGATCTGGGCGGACATTGCCGCACGTGTGTGCGGTGAAATCGGCCGTCTAGCCGCCCTTCAGGGCAGGCCAACAGTTGGGTCGATACAAATCCTCTCGGATGCCGACCCACTGGACTATGGGCTGCCAGCGGAATACAGAACAGCTATCCGAAAATTCCTCGGATACGCAAGGAGCAGGGGGTTATACACCGCTTCGCTCAAAGAAAGCGTATGCCAGATCCCAAAGCACGACCACTACCACTTCCGCGAGGACTCTACGCATCGCGCAGCCTTGGCCTCTGTTATCGGGCAGCGGATTAAAGTGTGTCAAGCTGACCACTTATTCGCAAAGATGCCCTCAGAGACGCTGGATGAGCTGGCCCGCCGTTTCCCCTTCGACCCAGAAGGAACGCGGGTATATTCCATGCAGTATGTCTTCGACAAGGCGCTGTATCGGTCCCAGCTCTCCCGCCGCCTTTTAAGGCAGGCCGAGATTCGCGAAGCTGCAAATGAATGCCCTGACCCATGGGAATCCCCTTATGTTCCTCCACCTGATCTCCCGGTCACTGGAATGCGTGAGGTACCTCAGGATGTCCTGAATTGGGAATGGGCCACAGCTCGCGAGCAGGCGCAAAAGCGTGCAAAAGAGCAGGCGGAAGCACGTGCCCGTGCTGAGCGAAAGGATCCAGCCCCACTTAGTGGTGGCCTATCTGGCAGTGCATCATCTCGCGATGTACCGGAAGTGTCCTTTGACGATGTCATCGAGGCCATCCCTTATCGCACTGAGTCACACCGCACTCTGTCTGCTGCGAAAGAGGGCATGACCAAGAAGGACCGGGACCCTTCCAGCGGCCTTTTAAGGGCTCGCCCACACGACTACATCGGGGTAAAATTCCAAGATGACTTGGACCTGATGGAGATGTGCGGCTTCATCGATGAAGATGTCTGTCCGGAGGATCCTGAGGGGAGCGAGATCGTCCAGATCCTCCCCGATTCGATTCCGAAGGACCACCTCCCTGAGTTAGGCCTCAAACCCTATGTTGAGCGCTACCTCACAGGTGCTGTCCGAGGGTCGAACGTGAAGCTCAGCTCACGGCGAGGCAAATGGGTACGCATCCAAGACCTCATTCAGCACATGTGGAAGAAGCACCGTGTGGATCTGGGAACTCGAGGTATCTTGTCCATAGTCGCCTACGATAACAAATCGAGGTTTAACTTGGCAGGCCTCCCCACCGATCCACGTGCTGACTTCATCGAGACGGACATTTGGCCGTCGTGGATTTGTGCGTCACACGGTCACAGTGAACGCATCAAAGATCAGGTGACTGATTCCTCGATTGCTCTGCATTGGTTCACGAACGAGACGCGTGAGGAGCTTGGTCCTACAGCCGCCTATCAAGGCAGGCCATTCCTTGCTCTTGGGGAGTTTCCCCCACGCCTGTATCATCGAACCACGCATGATTCAGCTTTCAATATTCTCTCTACTGGCTTCACAGCTGGCTTCAACCGGAGCGGGAAGTTTCACAACTACTTCGCGAAGGCCACGCTGAGCGAGCTTGAGAATAAAGCTGGAAGCCGAGCAAACCTTCCTTATGAAGTTGTTCTCGACACTCAGGAGGTGAACCGCTATGCCTACCTGTTTGAAACAACTTCCGAAGGCATACTCACGCGCGACCCAGTGCCAGGATCTTGTGTGCTCTACATCAGGGACACGATCAAAGGCATCATTCTGTGGTCGCGTCAGTCCAGCGAGGAAGAGGACACCATCATACCGGAAACTGCCCAGGATCCCATTGTCGATCCTGGAGCAGCTGAGCCGGAACAGTTCCCCGATGTACCGGAGGAACCTTCAGCCCCACTTAGTGGTGGCCATGAAGAGGTCGAGACAACAGAGTCTGCAACAGCAGACGAGCCTATGGTCGAAGTTGAGTTTGAGGTGGCACCACCAGCATCATCGCCAGAACCTCTTGCGCTCAACGACGCCACAGCATCCGACTTCCTTCCGGAGGAAACCACAACATTGGACCAGGGGGGTGCTTCTCCACCGGAGGCACCGACTGAGTCCAGAAAGCGTGTCCGTTTCCTCGAGCCGGAAGATCCCGTTGAAGTCGAGATCGAAATCGAGCCTGAAGAAGAAGATGTGAAAAGGGAGGAGGAGATTAAGATCGAGCCGATGTTCGAGCAGGCACCGCCTCAGCCGGAATCGACTCCTTTGGCTCTCCCTCCAGCCCCCGTTACGGGTGGCCGCCACAGGGCATGTCCTCACTGCGGTACTCAACACCTTGTGGGACAGATGATATGCTTGAGCTGTGGCGTGCACATCGTGAAACCTTCTCAGCAGAACGCACGCAAGAAAGCGCGTTCGGCTCGTTGGTTCGCTGAAGAGGCAGCCGCCGCCGCTGCGGGCAAGCCACGTTCCCAGCTTACACCGGAGGAGGTCATTCATGAAATGACCAGAGATTCTTCAACACAGCGGGGAACGACATCGCTCGACGCAGAGGCGCTGGACAAAGCCCGGCAGCAGCTCAAGATGGCTACAAAAGGAGGCTACACTAGCATCGTACACCGGTTCGATAACGACGTGGACTACACAATGAGTTCCATCGGCAATGGGTACGATCGAGAGTTTCTGGCCATCGAAGACGTGCTTACGCATGCTGCCTTGCCGAACCATGGCCGTTCAAAGGAGCAACGACAGTTAGCTGTCGGAACCTATGGTGGAAGCTCCGAAGGGCCACGGAACCAGGAGATCGCTCGGTTGCTCTACCTGCACGACTGCAATCCAGCCGCCCTTAGGGCAGGCCTGATCTCCGCAGTGAGTGACGATCCGTTTTGCATCATGTGGCTGGGAGGGGCATACAGTTTGCGCAAGTTCGTAGATGTTTTCCTCCAGCACAAAATCGTGAAGATGATTGTTACTTTCTCAGAAGAGGCACTCTATGTTGATCCAAGACTCGGCTATTCTGCTGAGGACTGGACTGAGTGGCTCCGTGAGAAATTCGCGGAACAGGTCGGAATTGCACGCCGTGCATACGAAGAACGACAGCGCAACGCTGAACGCTCTCGCATCGCGCAAGCCAAAGCTGATGCCCGCAGAGCAGAGCAACAGCGCTATCAGGAGCAGGGATGGGATCGCGGCTACCAGCGAGGATCCCACCCCTATGGGCGCTCCTCCGGTTCCCGGGGATGGTACTAAGTACCTGACCCACATTTCGTGGTTCCGTCACGTTAACCGGTACTCCGAAATACAGCCCCTCTTAGAGGTGGCCGAATTTCCTTAAGACCAGAAAAATTTCATCTTGCATCATCTGGCAGTCACTTTGTGACAACTCCGACACCAGGTCTTTGGACCTCGAGGGGATTCGTCAGCAGCTCCAGCGGATGATGTATTCGTCCCATGCTGCACATGTCTTGCGACTTGTATCCACGCCATCATTCAAGGCTTGCTGGATCGTCGCCATTTTATAATGCATGTCGCGACTTTAAACTGCGCGCTAAAAGAATTAATCTGCTTCCGTATCTTCCGCTTTACGGTAGTAGAAAGCCTATGAGCCCCGAGCCACAATCCAGCCGCCTTTACGGCAGGCCACACAGCACCAAGCTTCCGTGCATGTTTGCGCCTCAGACTGACGCTTCGGCGAGGGGGGTGTAATTTGTGCACGTGTGAAGTAGCATGTTGTGTGTACGGCATTGTGGCACAAGTGCTCTAACAGGAAAAGGTGCGTAGTTACCGCATGGTACAAGCTGCTTGTTATCACTTGGACGGACATATACAACAGTGCGTGTGTGCAGTGGTTTACAACAACTATATAGGTTTTCGGTGGATTTTGGATCCTAAACCCTAAACTCCTAAACCCTAAACCCTAAACCCTAAACCCTAAGCCTATCTGTAGGGTGATCCTAGCTGCAGGGACCCTTAGAGGGCCAAAGCCCGGCGAGGCCCACACCCCAAGTTCACACGCGTTGTCTAATTTAGGGGCCTAAATCGCTACCTATACTTTTTTTTTGTTGGGGGGGGAGGGGTCCTTAGTATAATTATAGTATAATGGGCCCCCAAAACCTATGCCAGTTGTTAAGGCCTCTATATTAGAGCTTTCTCAAGATCTCAGGTTGGTGATGCCTTTCCTCTAAGCTAGGATCACGAAGCTTGAAACACAAATCTGAAGATCTGAACACGAAGTTGTATTCGGTACTAACCTGGCATTGTTACTTCGGGACACACCAAACGTTTTGGTTCTGAGCGGAACCCAAACAAGCAGCTGTGGTGAGGCCTTGACTGCCCTTCACTGCAAGATGGAGAAGGACCGGAATTATGTAGGTTCAACAGCTAATGCTGTTCCGCAGAGGCAAGCAAGCCATTGTGCAACTTGGGCGAGAGCCGTACTAAACATCACAAATCCTATATTAGCTTATATCACACTTTACATTATACTATACTTCATTACATTACATCATTTTGTACTGTATACCACATCATTATACAATATTGCTATATTGCATTATACTATACTATACTTTATGTTATCATCGTATTTTCGTTGATATTTTCTGCTGGGGTATATTGTATTGTATCATCTCACATTTTATGACAGTATATCATAGCAGGTTATATTGTACTGCATTATACGGTATATTCTATTGTAAGATGTTACACCTGTACTACTGTATTATCTTTTGTTATTTTAGACCATATCCCCAGTCATGTTGGAGGATGCATCTCCACGCGAGCTTCTTCTTCAGTTGCTCCTGGTCGGAATGATTTACAGTAGAAGCCCAAAAGTTGGAAACGCAATAGCCTCAATCCTTAAGAGTAATGTATAGGAAATCCCGGCACTATTTGGCCTTAATCCGGTTGCCATCTTGATGGGGTTTACTGTAAGCCGTAGCTGCTGTCGACTCAATTGGGTGTAAAGTAAAAGCCAGAAAGTTGGAATATGGAATAATGGCAGGATCCCCTATGATTTACCTTAAAGGGAGTATGATAATGATATTCCAACTTTCTGGCTTCTACTGGTAAAAGCCAGAAAGTTGGAATATGATTATCCTAAACCCTTTATGGTAAATTATAAGGTATCCTACCCTGAAACCATATTCCAACTTTCTGGAGTTTCCTTTAGCTGATCAGGCCGAAACTCTGGTCCCAAACCTACACATTAGAGCGCGCAACCATACATCCTAATCATACTGGGCTCTTTGAAAAGGAGGCCGGCAGGCTCTCTGAGCACGCACGGCTTACTTACCCCAAGAGTGATGTGCCCCTTTTGCATAGGTCCTTACTTCGCTACAGTAAGCTCTACTGCAGCACATGGATCCTAAGTCTCATGAAGGCCCCTGAAATCCACTTCACGCCCGAGGCAAGAAGTGGAAACCCCAAACCCTGAACCCTCAACCTTCAACCCCAAGCGCCAACCGAGGCAAGAAGTGGAAGGGCATGTCAAGAGAGCGGAAGCCACCAAGTCGCTCCCAAAACGCCACGACCAGGCAAAGCAACTCTTATTCAGGTCTGGGAGTTTCAGAGAAAGGGGTACCATACTTAGGTCTTCATACGAAGCAGGGAAACTAGTTATGTTTTAAGGGTCCAAAAAAGGTTTCCATAGTATTGTACACAGAGCAACAGTGGAAGTTCCAGCTTCTAGTTTCTATGTATGTTTGCCTTTTGCGCTGGGGCTTTCATGTCCATCTTCTTCCGGGTCTTGTTGTGAGTTGCAGTCCTTCTCGAAGGCCCGCGGGCGACAGACCTTCTCTACAGCCCTTAGGCCATGCTTATAACATAGAGGCCGGAACAGTTGGAAAGCAGATCCACCGATGCTCACCTGCTACAGATGTAGCAGACAGCCCTATTCGAGTTATTAATGTGGGTGTCGGTTTAATAGTGGGGTACCCCCCCCCCCCCCGACCAAAAAAAAAATTCTATTTAATATGGAACCGGTAGCCCCCGGACAGGGGTCAGGGGTCGGTCTGAGTGGCAGGGAATTGGGAGGTGCCGGGGTTTGGGGGGTTGGCTTGGGTGCAGGGTCTGCGGTTCTGCGCGAATGCGCGGTCGGGGGTCGGGGGGGGTCTGGGGATCACCAAATGCTGGAAACCAAGCCCCGATCACTCCAAGACTACTACCAAGACTAAAAACCATTCATTTTGAACACTTTTGCCTCCGTAACCTACACTCACACACTCCCACCCACAATCGACCACGTCTGAAGCTTTGTGGGGTACAATAATAGTACAGTAGTACAATAGTAGTACAGTAGAAATAATACAGTAGTAATACAATAGTAGTACAATAATAGTGCAGTAGTACAATAGTAATACAACAGTAGTACAGTGGTAGTACAATAGTAGTACAGTAGTAGTACAATAATAGTACAGTAGTACAATAGTAGCACAATAGTAGTACAGTAGTAGTGCAGTAGTACGATAATAGTACAGTAATACAATAGTAGTACAGTAGTAGTACAGTAGTAGTACAGTAGTAGTACAATAATAGTGCAGTAGTACAATAGTATCACAACAGTAGTACAGTGGTAGTACAATAGTAGTACAGTAGTAGTACAATAATAGTACAGTAGTACAATAGCAGCACAATAGTAGTACAGTAGTAGGACAGTAGTAGTACGATTATAGTACCGTAGTACAATAGCAGTACAGTAGTAGTACACTAGTAGTGCAGTAGTACAATAGTAACACAACAGTAGTACAGTGGTAGTACAATAGTAGTACAGTAGTATTACGATAGTAGTACAGTAGTGCAATAGTAGTACAGTAATAGTACAGTGGTAGTACAATAGTAGTACAGTAGTACACTAGTAGTACAGTAGTGGTACAACAGTAGTACAGTAGCACAATAGTAATACAGTAATAGTACAGAAATAATACCAATATGCAAAGCATAAAGCCAGTGAGCACATTCCCCCAATAAGCAAAGCATAAAGCCAGCGCCTGAAACCATAAACCCTGAACCCTGAACCCTAAACCCTAAACCCTAACCCCTAAACCCTAACGAACCCTAAACTCCTAAACCTTAACAAACCCTAAACCCTAAGCCCTAAACCCTTCCCAAAGGGGGGTCGGTCCAGATTGGACCCAAAATTGAATTTTCTATACAAACTTTAGTACTGGAGATGCCTCTTTTGAGCTAGGGTCCAATCCCCGATTCGGCGGTTCACCCTAGCAGCCCGTGCAATAGTAGTACAGTAGTAGTACAGAGTCCCATTCCTGACGCCCCAATAAGCGAAACAATTCTGCAAGAGATTTTCGGGCTTCAGGGCCAGGGTTTTAGGGTTGGGTGGGGGTTTGGGTGGGGGTTTAGGTCGTGACTGCCTTAAGATTGACCATCAGCAAATAGCACAGCCCCGCCACCAAAAAATCACCCCAGCCAAAGAAAAAACGCATTAATTAGTACCCCAAAAATTTTATTCGGATTCGGAATTAGCCCCCGAGCCGACGCATTAAAGGAGCCTATATTCCTAAACCGACACCCACATTAAGGCTTTTATATAACCCCAACCAACCCCCCACCCCCCCCCCCCTAACCCTAAACCCTAAACCCCTAAACCCTAAACCCTCTCCCCCCCCCCCCCCCACCCTAAACACTAACCCCCCCCGCCCTAAACCATACCAGGCCATCATCGCCTGCTTCAAGGATGGCTACACCCCCGGGACTGAGGATCGCCAATTCCTGTGCCAAAATTTGGGGGTTTAGGGTTTTGGGTTTAGGGGTTTTCGGGGTTTAGTGATTTAGGATATCAGGGGGGGGGGCGGACTTGGAAGGCTGGATGTCCCGAAGCATTCTGTCAACGGGGGGCCGAAGGTGTTCGGTGTCTTGTGTGTCTTTAGGGTTAAGAGTCCCTACAAGCAGAACCCTATAAACTCTAGGCCCTTGGCTTATTTGCTGGAGAGCTTTTGTGCGAAGGCCTTGTGGTTGCAAAGTGGTTTCGAGAGTTGCGAGACTCCAGAGTTCATAAACCAGGGCTTTTGTCGCGACTGCAGTGCTTCACGCACTTGATAGGTCCACAAACAGCTGGCTTTATTGAGGTTGTGGCCCGGCAAGATTTGTTGCAGTGCTTTGTGTCTCACAGGCGTCTGCAATCGACAAGGAGCTGTCAGTTCAATAAGTTCATCCATCCATCAGTTCAAAAGAATCAGTCATCCATCAATGCATTCATGCATTCATTTATTCACATAGTATTTCTCCCTTTCATGCCCGAATGCATTCTTACGTGAACACATACCTACCCACATATATTCATATCCCTCTCCCTCTCCCCCTCAGCCCTCCCTCTCTAGCTCTTTCTCATTCTCTCTTCTTCTGTGTTTCTCTCTCACAGACAAAATTGCAGGGTACCTTGCTCATGGTCCTGGGTCCCAAGCCTTTACCCCATCCATCGCTCGAGGCCTCGAAACCACAAGCCCAGCACTGCACAGCCGCTCCAGGGTCTCGTAAAGATGCTCGAAAGCGGCATCGATCCGGACACACCATCCACAGGAGGGGATCTGGACCTGGTTTAGGGTTCGGGCCATTGAAGCTACCGGTACCGGTTTGTGAGCGACAAGGGCGTTAAATAACCCTAAATTTAAACCCCATACCTAGGCTACACCCCTAGGGCTCAAGAGCCAAGGTTGTGAGTTGTGGATATTGAGCCCTGGAGTCCTATCCTGCGGTGCTGACCAAGATAGAGGGAAGAGGCTGTCGAGAGAGCGAGGAGGAGAGAGGGAGTGACAGAGAGGAGAGAATGAGAGAGAGAGAGAGAGAGAGAGAGAGAGAGCGAGAGAGAGAGAGAGAGAGAGAGCGAGCGAGCGAGCGAGAGAGAGAGGGAGAGGAAGAGGGGGCACAAGCCCTGCAAGCCGTTGCGAACAACGACTAGGGGCCACACTCGAATCACCCTACACCCAAAGCCACAAACACTAAACTTAAACCCGAGACGCTAGACTTAAGTCTGACGTAACGAATGCACTCTGCAGATCAAAATGGAGCCCTTAAGCAAAACAAAAAAAAAGTCTGATCTCCGTGCAGGATTCATGAGTGGCTTCGCCCCCGGCATGACGCCGCTCCTCGCCGCCGCCTCCTGGGGGAAGGCGGCCGCAACTTGCGAGATGCTGGGCTCCTGATACAATATCATGGGTATGACTCATATGGGTAGTTGCCAAATTAAGGTTCCTTTTAGGGTACCCTTTAATAATAGGTGCCGTATTATAGGGGGACCCCAAAAGGGACCATCCATGTAATGTATATGCAATATGGGAGTGTCCGAAAATAGGGTACTTTATTTTGGGATCCTTATAATAAGGATACTACTATTTAGGGTTTGAGGGTACCATATTAGGGTCCCTTTGTTTTTCGGAAACCCCCCCCATATATGGTCAGGCGTCTGGCGTTCCCAGGCCTCCCCCCCCCCCCCCCCCCAATGGTATGGTCTGATAGGGGTGGGGGGGGGGCTGGCGTGTGCGGAAAGGGGTTGGCCGTTGGAGCTGCAACTGGATGGTGGGGTGGTGCTGGCGGCCAGGGCTCACGCGCAAGCCCTTCGCAAGCAAGCCGTAAACCCTATAACGCAGCGGATGCCCCTGTTTTGAGAAACCTTAACTTGTATACTTAAAACGCTCTAAGCCTAAAGCAGAGCATACACCGCAAATCCTCCCTAAGCCCTTGTCGACTCGAAGCCTTGTACCTTGCAACCGTAAACCCAAACTCACAAGCTTAAGCTAAACCCTAAACCCCAAAACCCCACAACCACCCACAGGGGGAAGAGGAACCCCACACCCCACACCACAGGGGAGGGGGGGGCCCCACCCTATATCCGGACCATTGACCTTTGGGGGGGGAGGGGGGGGGGGGCTGCGGAGCGCGTGACCATATATAGTAGCATTGCGCACAACATAACATATCAAAATGCAACATACGATGACCGATAACATTATGCGAGCCATGACTCCCTTAATAGTTTGGGGCTGTGGGGCTTTAGGGTTCATTAGACACTCATTAAAGCATGGTGCCTGGTTTACGCTTTTGGGGTTTGCGGTGTGATTTAGGATTTAGGGTTTACAGCTTTTAGGGCTTTTGGGGTTTAGAGGTCGTTTAGGATTTTTGTTTTAGGACTTTGCTTCTGAACTCTACTGGAGCTTCGGCAGGAACCCAAATACAGTAAAGAATTTCGGATGAGAAGCCTCTCGTGTCGGCATGGTAGCTTAAAGGGATGGCACTTTCAAGAAACCAGCCAACGTGTGCCACGCTGCTTGCTCAGAACCGTAGAACAGCCCTGAATCCTAATCTGTAGTCCAATCCTTGAGACACCTATAGTAAGTTTGCCAGCATAGGCTGCTCTGAGCAGCATTTCAAAATCCACGGGAGAAGCAAAGTTCCAGCTACTTGGGGTTTAGAGAGTTTAGGCTTTGGGTTTAGGCTTCAGGGTTCAGGTTGGGGGAAGCAGAGCGCCGTAAACTCCCACATGTCCGTTGAATGCCCACCCGGCTTCTTGTTCAAGCAGGCCCCGCCGCACCACAGTGTTCGCCCTAAACTTTGCACTTAAACCCGACAAAGCCTAAACCCTATAAGCCCTCTTCTGTCGCCTTGCAGTCATATAAGGCCGGAGATATCAGAACATCTCAGTGAAATTGCCACTTGACACCCTCATGCAGGATGTGCCTCGCTACCTGAGAAATGGCTACAGATTTATGGCCCTTTTTCAGGTTATACCATGTTATACTAAAGCCGCCATTCCAAAATGAAAAAGGTCACTGTAGGCCATCGTCTACGAGCTTTGGGCATCAGCCTTGGACTGACTTCCTAGTTGTAGCGATTTCCGACTGCCGTTGACAGCACTTGTTTCGAAGTCTGTTCCAGCTAACAGGTTGAAGCAACACACGCTGTGCTACTTTAAGCTATCGGTACTGCTGTCACCTCGTACGTAGCGGTTCAGCTACCGATGTGGATAGGAGTTCCTTCGAATGAGGGCGGTATCAGAGCGTTGCAAGTCCTCCACCACACTCAGCCATACACCTGGGCCTGCCCTAGCAGGGCTAGGGGTTTAGGGCTTGTAGGGAGCATTCCGAACCGAGCAAGGAAAAGTGTCGGCCAGCTGACACTGCTGGAAAGAGGATGTTACTATAGGGGCTTCAATAGTTACCAATACTATTTTCGGGGATTCCTTATCATCATTATAGTATGATTGGCCCCAAAACCCTCTTCTAATTATTCAGGAATCCCTGCACCCACAACATATTCAACCCAAAACCCGTAGTCCTATCCCCCAAAGAGACTCATAAGCCCTACACCCACAACACTCTAGACCCAAAACCCTTAGTCCTATCCAGAAGAGACTCATAAGCCCTACACCCTTAGTCCTATCCCTAAAAGAGACCTATAGTAGAACATACCCCTAAACCCTATTCTAGTTATTGGTTCTATATCATACTACTATTATACTATAGTTATACTATAATTACCTTAACTATTATACTGTTATTATACTCTAGTTATACTATAATAACCTTAACTATTATACTACTATTGTACTATAGTTATACTACAACTACCTTAACTATTGTAGTATGATTAGACTAGAGTTATACGATAATGACCTCAAGGAGCCCCTAAAAGTGACCGAAGGTTGATGAGGCTCGCATTCTCTTGGCCGCCGGCGCAGACGTCCGGGCGAAGTCGCCCAACATCAACCACACAGCAGCTGTGCTGGGTTTAGGGTTTAGGAGCTTAGGGTTTATAGGTTTGTGGGGCAAAGGGTTTAGAGTCGTATAGAGTCATAGAAGGGTATAGGGTATAGGCTTTCGGGTTTCAGGCTGTTTCGGGCTTAGGGTTTGCTGTGCAGATTCCATGATGTGGTGCTTTTTAGGCTCCAGGTTTCCACAGCGTGTCAGTGTTGAGGTTTGCACATCTTACCCTAAGGGTCCAAGTAGCCTTGATTTATACCCAAATAGGCCCCAAAGTCCTATAATACGGAGTACTTGGACCCTTAGATTTAAGGTTCAGGCTTCAATATTGTGGAGGTTGCTCTCATCGAATTGTGGAGGCTGCTCTCATCAGTACTGTTGCGCTTAAGACCTCTGCATAAGACTTACGACAGATATACACCACAATGCTTCTCGGGTCATCGAGAGGATGCTGACGAGCCGTTCGGATCAGATTCCTTTGCAGGTGTTTAAGGTTTAGGGTTTAGGGTTCAGGGTTGTTCAGCCAAGGTCCTGATTGAGCTAGTGAGCATCGGGCGTCGAGGGCTTAGGCTTGATCCTCAGGCCCCGACCGCTGAACTATTCCCCTGTAGTCCCGATATATGTACCGCATCTTATGGAAAACAGCATTCTCACTAATTAGGCCCCGATACAAAAACCCACAACACAAGAACCACATTTCAATCTAACAGTGCTCGAATCATCCAGGTCTAAACCCACTAAACTCTAGACCGGCCCGAAGAAGCAGTCCTTTGAGGGTGCTAACAGGTACTGAAAGGGTAGTAGCAGCGTCTGGGGTTTAGGGTAGAAGGGTCCAGGCTGCAACACAGTGTACACACACTATGGACTATAGCCCCAAAGTACCCATATAGCCATTACATAGGTTCATGTACCCTAGGCCACGTCGGCGAGGTCCCAAACATGCAAGCTTGCAGACTTGCAGTGCAGATCCAAGGTACTCCATGCCGATAGCTTACGAGATGCAAGTGCAGCTTCCAGATCTTGGAGGTTCTTCAGTTTCTGGTTGTCAGAAGCTGTGTCAACATTCACATGACCGAACTTGGGGTACTGGGGGCAGTGGGCAGCTTGGGGCAGCACAACCTGAATGGCTTTTGCAAGCTGCATAGCCAGGCTTCCTGCAACATGTGGGAGTTTCCGATCATAGGGGACTCTAACCCAGACCCCCGGCAGGATCCAAAAAGTAGATCCCTCATTGGGGGTTTCCTACAAAGTACCCTTAGTAGTATAGGGTCCCAAATTAGGGGATCTACTTTCTAGATCCTCCCGGGGGTCTGGATCCTATTAAGGTCCCCCAAAAATGAGGTACCCCTAATTTTCGGAAACTCCCATGTTGGGCTGGCACCTGGGATCCCTAATCTAGGTGACTCTCCTGTCAAACTAATCAAAGGGTAAAAGGAGGGACCCTTAATAAGGACCCCTAGGTATATACCCTTAATATGGCTGTTATATACCCATTATATAGCCCATTATAGGGTAGGGGTCCCCATTAAGGGTCCCTCCTTTTCCCTTTGAACTAAGATGGCCGCCGGCGGTAACGTTGATGGCTGGGGCCTGGAAAAGACCCACGCGATGGGCTCGGATGTGCCGAAGCTCCGGGTCCCAGATATACGGGTGGTTGTCAAAATTATGGTCCCTCTTAGGTAGCTAATGGGAGAACTTTAAACTTTTTGGCCGTATACATTTGGTCTATCCTAGAAAGTTTGAACTTTTGGGGCCCGGTTATTGAAGAAGAGAGTTTTGGGGTCCTTATTATAGTACGGCACCTAATATGTAGGGTACCCAAGAAAGGGCCATAATTTTGACAACTACCCATATCGGTGTAGAGTCTGCGGCAACGTTCCTGTCTTGGGATGACACCATCCGAAACTCCAGCCCTTTGCCACTAAAGGACGGAAAGCAAGCAACCCATCGCCTAAGCATGGCGCACTGCTAGACCTTCAATGGGCAGTATTCTTGCGTAAGCACTCACAGTTTACGAGGTTCACCATTGACAATAACGTCTTTTCCCAAAGCTACCAAGCTGCACGACAAACCTAAACCTCAAAACCTTCAATCTTCAAACTCTAGACCCTCGGACGCCTCAGACCATTCCTCCTCAATCCTGACGCATCAGAACCTACGCCCGGAACCCCGTCCGAAAACCTAGGACCCGAAACCAAAGACCGAAGTCCCCATGCCCCATTAAGCTCATGGCCATCCAAGAACATGCTTCGGCTAATTCTCGAAGCCGAACCAGCGTTCCTCGGCATTCCAGGAATCCTGAGATCTAGGTTTCGTACAGTGGTGTCAGAAAACAGGGACCCCAACACAGACCGAACTTGTGGCTCAGGCACCCCGAAGAGCCTAAGAGCCCGGAAAATATTACTATCAAGTTGTTACAGCCTGTCGCAGAGTGGCTGTTGTTCGTGTTGGGGTAAGTGCGACTCTGCGATGTTAATCTCCGCTGGTAGCTGCACTTGTACTGTCCCTACTCTTGTTACAGTTTAAGGTTGAGGAACTGGTCGTGTTTCGGGGTTTGGGACTAGGATTGGGGCTTCAGAATTTTCAGGTCTCAAGGTTGGGGTTTCAGGGATTCTTCTATGACGCTCTAGGCCCCGAACTGACTTGTTCATAGCTGCCGGGTGTAGGGTGCCTAGGGCTTCGCAAAAACAGCCTGTCGGCACATGTTTGCATATCAGGCAGTCTTCGTGGTTGCTGCATGTTTCTTTGGACTGCGGGTCGTCGGAGCTGCATAAGCCCTCCTCGACGCCTACAGCCGGCAATCTACGGCCCCATAGCGAGCGACGTGGAAGTACTTATGTACCTTATGTACCCATAGGCTCCATAGTAGTTCCTTTTTGGGGTTCATAAGTTAGGATCCTAAAACGTAATCCACAAGGGAACTATATGGAGCCTACGGGTATTAAGCATCTCGGACAGGTGGGATCCACCATGTCGCGGCTCCCCATACTGTAAGACCGAAGCTTTCAGGGTCAACATGAAGCCTTCGCAGCCAAACGGGATCATAGAGGGCAAGGGCTGGTGGGTGCAGCATAGTGGCACAGAAACCTGAAGAGTGACCCATTTTATTTCTCACAGTTCCTTAGGATATCATGTTTTTCTGAACTAGCATCAGTATAGACTTCGTACCCAAAGCCCCATTCTAGCGACTAAAACCCCTGATACGGCCCTTTCCGTATGCATCCCCTTACAGGAGCCGCATTCCAATCACTGTTCAGGCCCCTTCAAGGAACCCTAAATCCTAAAAACCTAGATTAGCCACGGTCACAAGGAGATTTAAACACGGCAACCTTAAAGTAAAAGCCAGAAAGTTGGAATATGATTATCCTAAACCCTTAATAGTAAATTATAGGGTATCCTACCCTGAAACCATATTCCAACTTTCTGGAGTTCCCTTTAGAGTAGCTCTCAGCCCGAAACCGTTTTCACCCGACTGGTCTCCTACCGAGCCGAGGCTTCTCACGGCCAGGAACGGCATGAACAAGACAGGCTCTCAGGTTTGGGGTCAGGGTTCGGGGGTTTAGGGTTTAGGGGTTTAGGGTTTAGGGGTTTAGGGTTTAGGGGTTTAGGGTTTAGGGGGTCTCGCGGTTCGGGTTGAGGTTCAGTATAAACTCTTTGGTTTAGGGGTTAGGACGGTTAGGATTGTGTAAGCTGTCGGGCTTAGGGTTTCGATATTTAGAGATGTACACGACGAATGGTCCCACGGTAGGACTTCTACAGCAACTTAACTCTAAGACAGTAAACACTGCAAGGTAAACCCCCGAACAGTAGGTCTAATGTAATTCCGAAACTCCTCACGTGAAAGGGTTCAGTGCGCTCTGGAGAGGCAGTCGAAGCCCAGATGGGATTGAATTTACGCAATGCAGGGTTCTTTCTGCTAAAGCTGTGAGGACTGACCCTCAGAGCTGTCAGATTTGAGTTTAAAGGTATCCAGGGAGCTCTGATATCAATTTATAGTAAAAGCCAGAAAGTTGGAATATGATTATCCTAAACCCTTTATGGTAAATTATAAGGTATCCTACCCTGAAACCATATTCCAACTTTCTGGAGTTCCCTTTAAGGTTTAGGGTATAGGGTTGCATTCTTCGACATACCTTGAGCACTTACCTAGCTTCCCGTCTACATGTGTTGTGCTGCCACATGTCCGCATTCTCAGAGCATGCATGTACATTGAGAGATTGAGCCCCACACTGAGGACTACATTGAGAGGAATGGCACTCTTGTAAGCGAGCAGTAGCACTAGCTGAGCGTATTGCCTCAACAGAGATCATCGACAGCACCCCAAACCCTAAACTCTAAACAACCCATGCGCCCAAGGACGGCGGCCGAGTGGGCGAAGCATGAGAAGAAGCGGCAGTCTGCCCAATTTCTTTCTCACTACGCCACCATGAACCCTGGCCTGAGCGGCAGATGATGTTGAGGGTTTAGGGTTTAGGGTTCAGGGTTTAGGGTTTAGGGTGCACACCGTTATTTCAGCTCTACGTCAGCGAATTCCTGGCGTTGGAAACACAGCAGCAAGGCTCCAGCCGGGTCATGCAGCAACTCAAAAGACAAAGCAGCCGAAGATGCGGGAAAAAGAAAGTCCGGGTTCAGGACTTTCAGCCCAAAACGCTTCATCCGAGTCGTCTTTGTCAGTGTCGCCGTCGTCCTCAGGTTTTGTGGAATCCTTCATGATAGATAGAGACTGTAAATGTCGAAAAGACACAGCCCTCTTACAGTGAGTATGGCCCCTTCCAGCACGCGCGGCCGAGCAAGGGCACCGTTAACATGCTGCAGCCTGGGTAGTGTGGCAGCCTGAATAACTACCAGCATTATTTCTTAGGGCTCTCGTTAGAACAACGATACTGTAAGCTACCTCGAGTCCCTATGGCAATTATTGAGGACCCCGCATATCCGGGTCTGCGGCTTTGGAGACGCTGGTTAAGGTTATGTGAGCTAGGGGACAGGGGCGTCTCGAATTTTGTGACAGAAGATCCTTCTCAGATTTGAAACCAACTCGGCCTTCTATTCGAGCTTGGGGAGCATACCCGCGTGCGCAAGGGCTGCCGCAGATACACATGTGTTTGCGCACTTGCAACATGCGAGAGGTGCCTAAGCCTCCGATTGATGCTGGCACATGTTTAAATGCAACTGCATGTTCGCAACCAACAGACTCAACAGGAGCTCGAATCGCAACATACCGTTCCTGACAAGGGTCAGCAACGACAGCTTCAAACCGTCAACAAGAAACAGCCGTCAAGCCAGCGGGAAACAAAGCCAGAAACCTAATCCCTTATCCCTAAAGCATAAATTTCCTAAATAACACCAAACTTCAAAACCAACATGATGAGGGTTACGCAGGTGACCACTCCCGTTACAGAGGCAGTGTTGGACAAGTACGGACCTCGGGCCAGTTGCTGGCGGGATGCTGCAGAAATCGCCACCATTCACCAGTTTTATTACAATACATGATCAGAAAGGTTGTTCTAATACCGAACTGAAATTGGAAAGAGCAGGAGCAATCATGCTGCCAACCGTCAAGACAGCTGGTTTAGGAAGCTCGACGGACTTAGCTTCGGAACTCCGTCGGACGTAAAAACTAAACCGCGTGTGGGTTGTTCTCACGTCGAAACTCAAGCCAAAGACTTGGTGTTTAACGCTCGGGGTCGGCAAAAAATACATCCCACAGAACTATATTGTGAGAACCAGGTTCACGTAGTAAGGCCCCTATAATCACTAGGTTTTCAGTGTTGGATATGTGCTTGACAGGGCTCAGAGTGTAGGATTGCTGACTGCGCTGTATGACATGTGTGATTCACGAAGCAGAAGCCCGTGTAAAGCGTGCGGGCAATTTACGAAGGGAGGCACACTGGCGATATCATCAACATCATCATCATCATCATCATTATCATCATCGTCATCAACATCAGCACCATTATCACCAGAATCATCACCGTCATCATGGCTATCATCTTCACCATCATCATCAACTCCTGCTTACGGGCCCTGCGGGGCGAGGAGAATGGCGGAATGTGTTGAGTGACCAGAGGCGGAATGGCGCGTCCTAGAGATGCCGGCATCAATGCTCATAACTCGCAACGCGGACTCTCTGCGGCGAAGGAAGTTCATTATCAACAACGTCACCATGTTGATGATGATCGCCATCGTCATCATCACCATTCTCACCCGGACACCTCCAAAGTGTGTGGCACAATGGTTTAATGAAATACACATCATTGCACACAGGCGCTCGGAGTTCCATGCCGGAGTTGCTAATGCATTGCATCTCCTCGATAGGGTGGATTCCACCGGTTTTAGGCCTAAGATTGAGAAGCCTTGTTAATCTAAGCCCTGTGGTTCTGGACCGCCGCAAGAGGTTTAGGATGGAAGCTCTTGCAAAGTGATGGTAAGTTGTACTGATGGCAGCAACACGAAGCAACAGCACCATCCGAGCCTAATAAATAAGTAGTACGATTCTCCGCATTTTGATTTTGGAGCCTTCCTGTTAAAACCATTAGACCCGTGCAATATACTGCACCCCCCCCCCCGCCATCCGGTCGTGTAGGTGGAAGCTTTGTTGTAGATGCCGGGGCGACAGTACCACCTCCTGAACATGAACAAGATACATCCTTCTTCATGTTCCGAATTGCCCCTCATGGCCCACATGTGCATTCGGCTAAATTGACGGCAAAGCAATGGTCGAACAGTAGCTTCCAAGTAAGGCAGGTGTCAACATCAGTTCTGCTATCTGTTTTGATTTCAGTGTTTGTCAACGGTATCACAAATAAGCAAGCAAGACCTCTACCATGTCAACGACCATGTGCAGTGTTGGCGGTGTAGTTGTCTCGTTGTGCGCTACTTTTATCGTTGCCGTTGCCGTGTTCGTTGTTGCATGTGGGAGTTTCCGAATATCAGGGGTACCTTATTTTGCTGTCCTTATAATAAGGATCCTACTATTCAGGGTACTATATCAGGGTCCCCTATTTTCGGAAACTCTAAACCCTAAACCCTTTACCGAACCCTTATAGATCCCTGTTAGGAACCCTTTAAAAGGGTCCCTTATTTTCGGAAACCCCCATGTTGTTGGGCAGAGCAGGGCAGAGCAACGGTCCAAGGGGAGCTCCAACCGAGCAGTTGAAGAAGGACCCCTACCCTATAATGGGCTATAGTAAACCCCAAGAAGTTGGAAACCGGATTAAGGCCAAATATACAGGGTTTCCAATTTTTGGGCTTCTACTGTATACTATGGGTACATGATAGCTATATTAAGGGTATATACCTAGGGGTCCTTATTAAGGGTCTTGAAGGCTGCGGGTTGCGTCTTGTCAAGGATGTTGCAGTCGCACTCGCTCGTGCGGTACGGCTCCGGAATCTTGTTGTGTCTTGCTGTTATTGCTTTCGTTGGTCTTGATGTTTGCTGTTGCGTTCTTGGCTTCTTGTAAGAAACTTATAGTCTCCATCGTAGTTCCTGCTGTTTGGTTAAACCGAGTTTATAGTTAGGATCCTATAAGCTAACCCAAACAAGGAACGACAATGGAGACTATGGGAAGTGAGCAGCGCCACGCGCAGAGGCATCCGAATTGCAAGCTCGTGGCAGTTTCTTTCACGGGCTTCAACCATGTCGACCTGGAGGACGGGCTTAGGGTCTTAAGGGATCAGGGTTTAGATTAGGGGTTGAAGGTTTAGGGGTGTAGGGCTTAAGGGTTTTAGGGTTTAGGGTTCACGGCTTTCGGGGTTTAGGGTTTAGAGTCTTGGTGGATTGGGGTTCAGGTGCTTAGGGTGTACGATGAACCGGACTAGGGTTTAAACGAGTTTAGAGCGGTTTACGGTCTGGTGTATACAGCCCCAGGGCGTTGTACTAGAGGCTGAGCGGCACTTTGCTGTCACGCCGTTGGGTGTTCGATAGATAGGCATTGCTGTTTCTTTCTTCCAGTCATATGAGAGCATGGAGCCACCAAGGTTTTCGGCGCCTTCTTCCAGCAATATCAGCATGGAGCCACCAAGCCTTAAGGCCTCCAACACCCAGACCATCCCGTAGGGCAAGAAGACAACGCGTTCAAGTCCCGAAGCCCGGCAGTCCTGAGCCCTAAACCCCTAAAGCTCTGAACCGTAAACCCTGAATCCCTAAGCCCCTAAGCCCTATAAACCCTAAACCGTAAGTCCTAAATCCTTAAATCACAAACTCTAAACCCTCAACCCTTAAACCCCAAACCCTGCAGTCTTGAACCCTGAACCTTACTTGGAGGTTCATATAAGTCGGGTTATAAGCAGGGCAACTATAGTTATAAGCCCTATTGTAGTTGACTTATGACCCCATTTATAACTACCCTAACCCTAAACCCCTATACCCTCATAGAATCCCTTTAGATCCCTCTAAAGGCGCCTATATAACTACCCATGAACCTCCAAGTAGCCCCGATCCTCAGACTCCCGAGCCTCGCATGACCTGGCCCTACACTCTCATCGAGGGGCCTTGATACTTAGACTAGGGTTTCTTTAAGGGTTCCTTAACGGGGTCTATAGGGGATCTATAGTAGGGTTCCTTTAAGGGTGGTTCCTTTAAAGGTTCCCTAACGGGGTCTATAGGGGATCTATAGTAAAGTTCCTTTAGGGCTTCCTTTTAAGGGATCCATAAGTGTTGCTATAAGGGCTACTATCTTTTTCTTACGCTGAGCCCCCACTTCCTGACATGCTCTGAGTCGGCAGTCCTAAGCACCCACCTTTAGGCTCTAGCTGTTGGAACTACGATTTAGTTTAGCCCTCAGGAGGCAATAAAGCCGAGTGATGAGAACTTTATGCAGTCGCTTGACGGTTGGGTGTGGGAGTGGGTGGCAGGGTGGACAGCAGCCTTGCAAGAAGGACGCTACCACATAAACGGCTTCTTTATAGTAGAGACTGGGCTTTGTTTGGACTTTAGGGTTTGCGGCAGTTCAGTTTTTATTACCTACTTGGAGGTTCATGGGTAGTTAGGAGTGGGGTTATAGGTAGGGCAAATATAACTATAACTCCTATTACGGAGTTATAACTTATAACCCTACTTATAACTACCCATGAACCTCCAAGTAGGAGTGGTCTAAACTGCGAAGAATAGCTTTCTGACTTCTGACTCCAGTCCTTGGTGCTGGACCGCCAATGTAGATCAGCGGTCCAGCATGCAAACTTTAACGCTTTTTTGCGTGCACACCACAGCCTAGCATTTTAGGGTGAACGGCTTGAGGTTTAATATGAGGGTCTGCATTTTCCCGGAGACGGGACAACCCAACCCCATGGGGTGAGGTGGAGCAGAGGTGTTAGTAACCCGTACAGCCATGACCGCTTAACCCTCGAACCTCGGTCAGACCCGGTACCCCCAAAACCCTGAAACCGCGAAAGCTCCCTAAACCCTAAACCCTAAACCGTCTCCAGGCTTGCAAGAAGAGGGGCATCTCGGTGGTG